TTCGGCCTGGGCCAGCCTTGCCCACATGCCCCAGATGCCGTTGATATCACATCACTCATGGCTAGTGGGTTATTCAAACCTTGATCCCCTCCTACTGGCATGATTATGCTTCTAAAGCAAGAATGTCGCCTGTCTTCCACATGTTAGCCAATATGTTAAGGGCAGGGAAGAGAAAAGGAAAACCCGAACATCTGAATTTAATAATAATCACAGTCGGCTTTGCTGCCCTCCCCTCCTAATGAGCTGCCATATGCCCCAGTGACCTGTGCCAGGGCAGGGTGGGGGGTGTGGGCGCTGAGCACACCTGCCTGAACCTCCATGGCTGGGGGGTTGCACAACTAACCCCCATGCCAGGTAGAACTGGCAGCCAGGCCAGGAGGTTCTCTGCCTGTGAACACCTTCCTAGGGGCTGGTTAATGCCACTTGCCCTTGTGTGGCTTCTCCTGGGGATGCCACGGAGAGGACCCTGGCTGTGCAGCAGGCCCTTGCACAGATGGGAGACAGAGGCTCGGAGAGAGTGAGTCACGGGTCAGACAGGGAGGAAGAGGCTGAGCAGCGGACACCTGCCAGGTGTGTCGCCAGGGGAGCCAGCCTGCCTGTACGAGCACTGTCTCCCTTCCAGGCCTTGCGTGTGACACGCCAGGTCCCCAGGTCCCCAGGGGCTGATGACGCAGGACTACAGGCAGAGGGAGCTGTGACCCCTTAAGAGCTGCGAGCACAGAGCAACGGCCCCAGGCAGCGCTGCCTGGCTGCCCCACCGCTGCCTCTGCTCTCCGGGCCGGCCCAGGCCTGGAAGCCACACTCAGCCCCCAGAACGCCCACAGCCCCTCCGGCCTGCTGGCCTCCGCCTGTCACACCCTCCCTGGTGCCCCGCAGCTGTCGTGTCTCTCAGCCTCTGGCTCTCCCATGGCCCAGCTCCCAGGGCTTCTCTTCCACAGCCCTTAGTGAACCAAGGAATTAGGGGGCTGACGTGTCTCCCGTGGGATGTCAACACCAGGAAGGCAGGGGCCGCGTCTGCCCGGCTCATGGCATGATCCCAGGATCTAGATCAGTGCCTGGAACACAACAGAGTCCTGACGAATGAATTAACCCATTAGCGGGAGGCCATGAGAACTTCATTTCGATCCCTTGACCTCGCGGGGCCTGGGAGGCCTGTGTGCGACAGAAGGCTCTTGGGAGAGCCCAGGACCTGGCAGCATCTGTTGTTCCAGACCCAGCGCCCAACAGGTGCTCACACAGGAACAACAAATAGCTTCCTTTCCAGAGCAGGAGGAGCCCGGACGAGTCTGCAGAACCACTCACTTTGTGGCCCTGGGCAAGCCACAGCCTCACCTGGGCCTCTGCTTGCCCTCCCATAAAATGAGGCGGTTGCAGGCCTTGCCCTGCCTCAGGGGCTGTCGAGGTATCAGCTGGAACAGAGGGGCCCCCCAGCAGCATCCATGGCCAACTTTCAGGGCCTCACGCTGGGCCAGGCCTTCATCCGCACCGCACGACCCCTCGCAGCAGGAAGATCATCTCCACTATTCAAGGGGACCAGAGAGGCGAGGACACTTGCCCAAAGTCACTCAGCTGAAACAGGTGGTACCCCCATTTGAACATCCCTTCACTCACCACCCAACTGCTGGGCCCTGCCGTTGCTGCGACTTTCGGGGGCCTTCCCAGGAACACAGGTGCCACAGAAGCAAATGCAAGCAACTAGCTCACATTGTGGGAAACTTAGTGACACTTGTCCAGCTAATAAGTCTCAACTCCTGCCTCCTGCCTCCCGCTCCCAGGCCCAGATGGGGCCTGAGAAATGCCAGGGTGGTGACTGGAAACCAGCTCACAGCCTGCGTGTGGGGTGGAGACGAGGCGCTGTTTAGCCCTCAGCATCACAGGCTGTGAAGCGACATCCAGGAGGAGTCTGGCGGGCCTGGGATGTAACGGGCTCTCCCCCTGCCTCCACTGCCTATGGAAACCTCCGTTCAGATACACCTTCCCCAGGAAGCCCTCCTGCATCTCACCGAGCTCTCCTCAGATCTTGCAGCCCCACCCATTCCCACAGTCTATGCTGGGCTCAGCTGGGCATGGGGCAGTGGGTGTGCCCCCGGCTCAGACGACAGCAAAGGATGTCGAGAAAGCACTCAGGCCAAAGGGAAGCATTCAAAGGAAAAATTCAGAAATGTCCAGGCTGGAAGCCACAAAAGCCCGAGGCAGGGACCCCTGGTGGCTCAAGCCTGGAGCAGTTGGACAACAGCCAGACCAGCTGCCGGCCTCACGTGGGCCTCGGCACACCAGCCCTCAGCCTCCAGCTGGTGGAGGGGACCGCACGGCTGGCCCAGCAGTCTCGCCCTTCATTCCCCCGGAGCCTGCAGAGCCAGCCGACAGAGGGGTTCTTCACCCAGCTGAGGGGTGCCCGGAGTCACTCCAGGGGGATGTGGTGGGGCATGGAGATCCCTGCAAGCCCCCATTCCCTGCTGTCTGCCACCTGTACCCTGGGCTCCGTATCCTGGGCTCCTGCCAAGGCCGTGTCGGAAGGCCAGCCTCTGCAGCAACTAACAGGACTGATGGCTCCCGGGGAGCTTCCTGGGGCAGGCACCGTGCTCAGCTGGACCCTCCTGACGCCTGGGCGGCCACCCTCCGGAGGAGGCACTGTCCCTCCCATTTTTCAGGAGAGGAAACTGAAGCCCAGAGAAGTTAAGTGATTCACACAGGGTCACACAGCCCGTAAGAAATGAGGCCAAGATTTGAGTCCAGGCAATTTGGTTCCAAAGTCATGCCACTGACTTCTACAGAATGTAACTTTTTTTAAAAAAAAAGGGCTGCATATGTGTGAGGGCATGTGGGGAGAGAGGGTGTTGAAAACCACTGGGCGATGTGATTCCCCACCTGGGTACCTACAGGCCTTCACTCCAACCCTGCCGGCCCCCCCTTTGTGCCTTACGTGCCAGGCTCTCCTCTGCTCGCACTGCCCCTCCTCCTGGAATGCCCTTCTTCTGATTTTCTGCCTGACCAGACTTCTCCTGCTCTGGGCTCCAGCGGCCTGCCGGGCAGACTCAGCCACCTCCTCACCACCTGGTGCCTTGGGGTCCTTGGCACCAGCTTGTCACATCCTTGGGTGCCCCACCCATCCTTGTCTGGGACATCACAGGCTGCAGGGAGGGGTCATCAGACCCTGTAATTGTAAGGGCCAGGCAGATGACAGCAGGCACCTCCTCTGCCCCATGAGGGTGCCTTGGCAGGATGGGACCAGGTCGTAAACCCACCCGCAGCCTCCTGCCCCCAGTGCTCACCATGTGGCATTAAGCAGGGCAGCCAGGGATTTCCCAGACACACCATGTGGATAGCAGCTCTCCCTGAAACCCCCATAAAGTCCCCATGGGCCCCCAACTTACCTCTCAACCTCCCTACATGCACTGCTCTGGCTGATGGCCCGGCTTGAGGCCTGTGATGCCCTTTTCTTCCCTAATGGTTCAGGTCACCCCACCACCTCCAGGAAGCCTTCTGGGATCAAGCCACACTTTCAGGCCACTGTGCTTTCCCCCCCTGTTTCTGGTACCCTCCTGACCCTGCCAGCACTTGACACACTGTGGCTATTGCCAAGTGGGCCTCAAAGGGCCAGTTGGTCTGTCCACCTATAGAATAGGGACAATAAGTCAGTCCTCACAGGGCTGAGCAAGGATCAGAGACAGTGCTTATGGAGACTTCAGCCCAGGGACCAGCTTAATGAAATTTCTTGGGAATGATCTGCTGCCGCCATCATCACCATCTTAACCATCACCACCATGAGCACCAACACCACCTCCATCATCATCACTGTCACCTCCTCTCAATCATCACCATCAACACCACCTCCACCATCATCATCGTCGTCCAATCACCACCACCACTACCATCATCCCCACCCCATCTTCATCATCACCTTCACCATCACCATCCTCACCCTCATCACCATCACAACACCATCACCACCCTCATCACCATCACAACACCATCATCACCCTCATCATCCTCATCATCACCCTCATCATCACCCTCATCATCACTATCACCATCGCCATCACCGCCACCACCACCACCATCACAATCAGCATCACCACCCTCATCATCACCCTCATCACCATCACCCTCATCACCCTCATCACCATCACCCTCATCACCCTCATCACCCTCATCATCACCATCACCATCGCCATCACCATCATCAGCATTATCATCACTATCCCATCACCGCCATCACCACCACCACCACCATCATCACCATCATCGTCACCCCATCATCACCATCGTCCTCACCATCGCCATCGCCATTGTTGTCCCTGTCATCATCACCAGAGCTTCATGGACCCACTGACCATCACACTGACCGTCATGAGCTATTCTCACCTTGCGCCCCACCCAGCCAGGTGAGCCCAGGGGTGAGGCCTGATCATTCTAAATGCCCAAAAAGGAATAAGGGCTCCAGGTATACCTGTGATCTGAACAACTGTCCCCAGCACCGTGAATCAGGCCTTCGGCCTTTCGTGAAAATCCCAACTGCCTTTCCTCAGTCTGGCTGATCACCGCCTGCCCAGCTTTGCACCTTCTGTGCACTGGGGAGATAGGAGACCCCTAGCATACAGCGTAATGGCTGAAAGCAGGGTTCCTGGAACCACAATGCCAGGAATTAATCACAGCTCTGCCCCTTCCGAGCTGTGTGACCTTTAGTAGGGTCCTCACCCTCTTGGTGTCTGTTTCCTCATCTAGAAAGTGGGGATATTTGTATCTATCTGTATGTGAAATAGTACGGCATAGGGGACACAGCTAGCTGACAGCACTATATGCCAGTTAGAGGGAAATCCAGGCTGAGAGAGTGACAGTGACCTGCCTAAGGTCACACAGCAGGCGAGGGGAGAGCTGAGATGCAGTTCTAGGTCTGTGTCCACGCTCCTGCTGCTGCTCCCAGGCCTACCACCCTCTGCTCACCCGGCCTCAGCCCCCCAGCTCCGACCGGTGGGTCAGGACGGTGCTGGTGCACTCACCACGGCGAGCCGTAGACCCGGAAGCCGCGCACGGTGACCTCCGAGTCCTGCAGGTAGATGCAGCTGGTGAGCAGAGACTGCACATTCTCATAGTTCTCCGGCTTCAGCTTCGACACGGATGGGAAGTAGTAGAAGTCCTGCTTGATGAGGTCGGCCATGAACTCCTGGTCGAAGGTCAGCTCGTGGTTGCCGGCAATCACAATTTTGTACTCGTAGGGTAGGCTGCCTGCAGGGCGGACATGGACAGACACAGTGCACCGCCGCTGGCCTTCCAGAGGCCACTACGCATGCAGGGACGAGGGCAGGCAACAGCCCCAGATACCGCTGAGAGCTGCCCCTGCTCCCCGGCCGGTGCCCTGAGAGGTGGCAGAGGCCCAGGCCCTGTCCTTGCAGCCTGCCTGCCTGGGCCTCAGCGAGGGGACAGGCTGCCAGCCTGGGGCCAGTGGGAGGAGGCTGGCCAGGCTCCTCCAGGCCTCTGAGCTACAGAGGGCTTGGCCTCTTCCTCAGGACTTCCTGCCTCCATTGCCACTTTTCCACTGGAAGGAGACCTTGCCCTGGACGCCCAGCCCTAGCCATCCTCAGCCTCACTGTCCCAGGCTCCTCACCACCTGGAGCCCCTGACCTGTTAGCTTCGATGTTCCAACAGAAATTGCAAGTTCTTTGCAGAGCCCAGGTCAGTAAAGAGCACAGTGCCCGGCCCCTCTGCCATGCGATTCAAAGTCAAAAGGAAGTCTGAGTAGAATCAAAACAAACCGCCGATGCGCACCGTACACTGACAACAGGGCCGTTGTAGCTCTGCTGCATGCTCACGTCCTTCCATGCCGGCCTCCCTCCCCTCTCTCTGGGGCCCGACCTGACCTCGCAGATGCCCGAGCAGGCGTGTACACTGCCTCCAGGGTGACGTAGCCATGGGCTGTGCTCCAGGAGAGCCGCCCACAGCTACCATGCCCTTCCTCCCCAGCGAACTGCCACCTACCCCTGTCCTCACTGCTACCCTAGAGCCAGCCTGGCCCCAGCTTAGGCCCTAACTCCCTACCTCCCACCAGCCTCAGCTGCTGAGCCCCCCAGGCCTGGAGAAAGGGTCGTGATGATACCTGTGGGCTCTGGTTGGGGTGCAAAATGCAATGTTGAAGATGAACCTGAGCCCCAAGGCATTCTCCCAGCCCCCCCTACCCGCCCGGGTGGGGAGTGCCTGGTGGGTCAGGCAAGCACCACAGGGCACGTGAGGATGCCAGCCCAGCCAGTGGCCTAGGGAAGACAGATGTCCAGGCAGGAAAAGGGTGACACTCCAAAGCCATTTCACAAAGTGACCCAGGTCACTGAACAGAACTTCTACATGACTTGACTTCTGGTTTTTGAAGGAGCCGGTACAAGGGACACCAAACGGTGCCAAATGTCTGCTTCTGCAAGAAAATCATTCTCTTCTCCTGAAATCCTCAGCACAGTGACCAGCTGGCACAGTCCCAGGGGTCCCTGCAGTGTACATGTATGAGGCCTACTGGGCACAGACACCAAGTCCATCATGTGCCTCGTGCACATGTGGAAACAGAGGCCCATGAAGCCGGGTGTAATGTGCCAGAGGACGCACAGCCAGGGGGTGACAGAGCAGGATTCTGAGCCTGGCATGTGTGACCCCAGCACTTTTCCCCTGCTTGGGGAGAGCCTAGGAATGTGCCTCAACAAGGCCTGGATGCGGAGCCCCTCCCAGAAGCACCAGGAGCTGCGGCTCGCCTCTGCCTCTGGCCTGCTGTCCTGGGGCCCCGGGGTGATGGGAAGGGAATCCACCCAGGGGTCCCCGACCTCCCAGCGTCTGGGTATCAGAGAGGGAAGAGCAGAAGGCCGCCTGAGGAAACAGAGTCACACCTCACACTGCTTTGCCAATCCTGGGTGACCATGACCCCCATGAGGGCACACACGGCATAGCGCCCAGCTTTGGAGCCGCTGCCCTGGGGCAAATCCCAGCTCCCTCACCTCTCAGCTGAGCAAGTCACTTCTCAGCCTCAGTTTCCCCTCTGATCAAGGCAGGTGTGCCTGGGGACTGCCCTTCCTGGAGGCAAAGGCCTTCCCTGGCCCCCCACCCGTGACCGCGGGGCGCCCTCTGCCTGCTGAGCCGTGTGAGCATTCCATTAGGAACCCAGTTCTGGACATGCCTCGGCTCCACGTTCTGAGGCCTGTTTGCCTCACTGGGAACTGATGTCCACAATATTATATCAGCTGCACCAGCCATGTGATCAGACTCGGCCCCAGTGACTCTTTGAGGAGGAACGTTTTCCCAGCCCTGTGTAGGCTGTGGGAAGGGGCAGGGAAAGTTTTGTGGCCATGTGACACAAAGCTTCAGTAACTGTACCTTCATCTATTATTACATTCTAATTGCAAGGAGACAGAATCATCTAGAACCCAGTTAGAAACTTCATTCCTGCACCCCCACCCGACCTCTGGAATTGGGACCTGCACATTCTGTCTGGCCTTGAGCTCTATGGCTGTGGCACATGGACACTGGATGGCCACCTGACTCCCAGCCTGACCACAGAGGGGACACAAAGAACCAGCAGCAAGACAGAAGTTTCCCCCCAAACAGACAGAAAACCATAATTTGCTCATTGCTGCTACACCAGCCACCCCAGACTTCTCTACAGGTTCTCTCTTCTCTGGTATTTATCAACTATGGAGGCCGCAGACAACGACAGGCCTGGGCTCCAGGCACTGACCAGCTCTGCCACTGACCAGCTATGTGACTTAATATCACTCTGCCTCCATTTTCTCACCTGCAAAATGGGAAGAATATTGCCTATCTCGCAGACTGTTCTGAGATTACCGAAGATAATGAATAGAAATGCACGAGAACTTCAATGTTCAAAAAAGTGTTAGCTTACCTGCAGGCCGGAACTACCCACAGACATATTTCACTTGGCCTAACTTTCCAATAAATTCCCATAGCTTTCCCATAAATTCCCAATAAAAGGTCATTCTTTCTATTTTCTAAAAATCGATTTTAAAAGCTCAAGGTCCTGGTCTAGTCAAGTGCTATGGGTCTGCGCCCCCCCTTAGACAGGAAGCAGATGTCAATTTGCCCCAACCCCTACCCATCGCTACTATGCACATGCAGCCCACTTTACTCATTTTAAAGTACTGCCCACCCCCAGCAGGGGTTTAGGTCTCTGACCCTTGCCATGGTCCCTGGAGACATGAAAGGGACAGACCTGGCTGCCACCCCTCGGTGCTGCCAATCAGACAGTGGCTGTGACCTCTCCACCCCCTTCCACCTCCCCATCCTTCTATTTTTCATCACAGCCCACCCTGTTAGGACTGGCCCAAGGGCGCCCAGAAGCCCGCCTATTCTGCCGGAGGAGAACTCTAGCATGGGAGTAGCCACGTCTGCTCACCCAGCTCGGTCCCCAGAAGTCTGGGAAATGAAGCCCCAACAGCACCACAGGGTGCACTGTAAGGGAGCCCCTTGACAGCAAAGCTCAGGCTGCTGGGGATGGGGGGAGGTCTGCCTGGCCCTGAGCAGCTGGGGAGGCATCGTGGAGGACAGTGCAGAGAAGAATGCCATATCCTGGACCCCATCGTCGGCCGGCCACCCTGGGTAAAACTCCGCCCCCTCCACTCCCCAGGGAAGCTTCTGAAAATGAGGCTCTGAGGTCAGGCCCCTGCCCAGGTCACACAGCAGGTGAGCAGGGGAGGTGACGCTGGACCTTGGTGCAGCTGACCCCACCCTTCTGGGTCAGTGACTCAGATCCCCCCAACACCATGAGGCCACGGAGTCAGCTGGGAGCCTCATGGGGCCCCTCCCCAGACTGCAGTGGGGGTGGCAGAGGTGGCTACCACGGATCACCTTCGGTTCCAATTCTCTGTGTTTCCACCTCCCGACACCCATCTATCCCATTCAAGCACCACCCCGGCTGGGGGAGCTGGAGCCGCACTGATGTATTCATGTCATGTCTCTGACTGGGGGTGTTACTTCAGCAAATTAGCAAATTACTCCAACGCTACAGTTTCATTTATGGCCTGGGCTCCCGACTGCTGGGGATCAGGGAGTGAACAGGGAGCCGTCGGCACTTCCCTGATTCTCCCACCCTGGCAGGGGAGGTAACTGAGGCTTCTTCCCTCCCAGGGAAGAAGGGGGTACAAGGCTCCTGTACAGAAAGCCAGGCATGCGGCAGGGGCCACAACCCAATGGCATGACACCCTCCAATACTGCTGGTCTCTCCCTGCAAAGTAGGTGCCACGTGGCTTGGGGGCAGGGGCACATCCATTGAAATGGTCCAACACCAAAGCTCTTCTGCGCTGGCGGTCCAGCTACAGACACATCGGATGTTCTCGTGGACTCGGCGACTTGCCGTCTCGTATGCCCTTCGCAGACACTTACGTAAGGCCATCCGTGCTTTACTTCTGGGGAAACCGAGAATCAGAGAAGTCGCCTAAGGTCACACACACCAATGATAGGGCCTGGCAACTACAGAAGGCAGTGGACACTTGATAGACTTTGTGTCTTGGCCTCATCAAACTCATCCTGAACCAGCACTTCAAACCACGATGCCAGACTGCCTTTCAGGGAGTGGGTGGGTGGGTGGGCGGACAGACCATGGATGGAGGAATGGATGCACAGATATGGATGCATACATTTATAAATCAGGCAGTCGTACTGAGATAGTTTGGGCTGCCTTCTTTACACCAAATAACCTCTGTCTCCCTGGATCCCTCTCCTTTTCCTCCAGCCGCCCTGGCAGACCTGTGTCCCTCACCCACAGCCCTCCCTGTGCATCTCTGAATTGTCTCCTATTGGATAAGCTCTCTTGCAAGTGGGAGTTGGGGGGGCCAGAACTAAGGCTCTAGCATGGCCTGGCCATCCTAGAGTGAGGTAGGGAAGGCCCCTCCTGTGTTCGGGAGCTACCACCTCTGTTATTACAGCCGGAGGCTGCATTAGCCTTCAGGTGCACCGGTCATCCTGCAGCGATTATCCACCTGACTATGGATAAAGTGCCCAGTGCCCCGTCATTGTGGGCCATCCTGCTAGGCTTCAGCTGCCCCCTCCTGCATCTGGGCAGTGAAGGAGGGGAGTGTTCTGGGGACCTCGAGGCCGAATCTGCAAGGACTTTGTGGGTTAAAAAATGAGATGAAAACAAACTCTTCTGCACACAGAGGAGATTAATGTTGTTTCCTCTGTCCCTCTTTGCTGCTGTCCCTTCCCAATGGCAGAGAGGAGGGCTGGCAGAGAGGGAGCCT